AAATTAAAAAAAATTCCAAATTATTATATAATATAAAAATACATTAAGAATTGTATATTTCATAGTAAATTTTAATTGCATAATTCAATCAATGTACTAAATAAACACACACATTGGTTTGTAATAGAATTTTTATAATGTTATAATGAAAATGATAGGAAAAGAGAAAAAGGAGAAGTGGGCCTGAGAGCGTGTGCCTTACACACGAAAGCTCATGCCAGAGCACATTAAAAAGTGTGCAATCGTGTGGATGTGGCAAGGCTTCTTTTGTCATTTTCCACTATGCCAAACTTTTTTGCTTTTTTATTATTATTTTAATTTAATGTGGACTTTATTTCACCACACTCCCAAAAAACTTAGTTTCCAAAACAACCACATAAACGTACATCCATTCCACTAATAAAACAAACATTATAAATTCTTAAGACTTCTAAGTTTCAACATGTTTTTTGTCGGCAATGGTCAAAAAAAGACAACTGAACAAAATCCATTAGCTGTAAACCTGTTTATCCTAAAACATTTATACATTTTTATAACTTCCTTTTTAAATCATTTGTTATGAGATGTTAAACATATTTAATTTTTATTTTTAATATTGTAATGATATAACTTTATTAATTCTGATTGGACTTGTGCAACAAAGGAAAATGAAAGGAAGGAGGATTAGGTAATGGTTGGTTTTATTTAAGTAAAGAATCTGTATTATATTCTGTTTTGTTCTGTTCTCTTTCTCTGTTTCTGTAGACAGAAGCCACACATGGATAGGCTTCTATCATCGCCTTCACCTTCTTCCTTCAATACTTTCAACAAATCTTTCTCATTTCTCACTCCATTTCAATCTGCAACTGCAAGAATCAATTTATCTCCTTTAGCACATTCCGACTTGAAGAGGGTCACCTCAATTTGTTGCAAGAATGAAAACCCTTCTCTTTTTTCATCTTCAACTCCCTTTCTTGCATCTTCCAAACACCCCAATAGTTTCCCATCCATTTCCTCTTCTCCAGATCGCCACCCACCGGAACCCCATTTTCTCAATCAAATCAAAACAGTGAATTTCCAAAAGCCAAAGGTATGATTATGCCCTCAGCAATCATTGTTGTTCAACACTCTTTTTTCTCTTTCGTTTGTGTATCATTGGTCATTTTCAAATTCATGTTTCGGATAGCTCCATTTGATTTCTTTTAATTAAAGATTAAAAAAGATCTCTCCGAAGGGGTGATACAGTTTTACTTTTCAAAATGGCAGTTTTTGTTTTCCCAATTCGAATTTGATGTGTGCTAAGGGTGAAGAATCTTCTTTACAAACCTAAAATTAAGAGCCTCGTTTCTTGTAAAGTTAGTGAACCGGTTCTTCCACCGTTTTTCAATCTGTATCTCTGCTTCTGTTTTTCTTCTTCTTTTCTAGCGTGACAAACAAATCCATGACCCTGGTTTGAAACTAGATCAAGTTGTTAGCTTCTTGGTGGTCTAATATTCTTTTTGTGCCTTGATGGCATGACCAATTTCTGTTACGTATTTCTGCCAATAAAACATGATCATCAAGTTTATTGTGGGCTATATGTAATTGAATATAGACTTGGATACATATGTGTGGCATATTTCAGTTCATTCTTTAATTTTTTTTTGTTTTGGATGATGTTCTTCGTGATAGTACTTTTTTGTCCTAATTTTTTTTTAAACTCTGCTGTATAAATAGATCTTAACAAAAAAATCTTCGTGCTTTTTGTCTCAGGCAATACCAGCTCGGATTCTTATCACACTCTCTGCTCTTGCTTTGATCTTAATCCAACCTGCTATTGCACCAGCAGCTTTTGCAACCTTTCAAACTGCTGCGAAGACTGGTGGTCCTGCTGCAGCTGCCGTGGGTGGAAAATTAATCCAAAGTGAGCTCCTAAGCAGTGGTTGGACTGGTTTCTTAGCTGGGTGCTTGCACACACTATCAGGGCCTGACCACCTGGCCGCCTTGGCTCCATTGTCAATTGGTCGAACCCGAATGGAGAGTGCTGCTGTTGGAGCCCTTTGGGGTTGTGGTCATGATGCTGGTCAGGTTCTTTTTGGGTTAATATTTTTAATCCTGAAGGATCAACTCCATATTGAAATTATCCGAACATGGGGCACTAGAGTGGTGGGTCTAACCCTGCTAATAATTGGTGCCATGGGAATCAGAGAAGCTTCAGAAGTACATACCCCGCGTGTTGCTTTAGAAAGTGGTGAATGTGATGTGAAGGTGTATGAATCAGTCGATAATCCAACGGTAGGGAAAAAGAAGATTGGATTTGCTACTTTTGCCACTGGAATAGTTCATGGACTGCAACCGGATGCATTGATGATGGTGTTGCCTGCCCTTGCACTGCCCTCTCGTTTAGCAGGTGCTGCGTTTCTCATCATGTTCTTAATTGGAACTGTGATTGCCATGGGAAGCTATACTGTGTTTATAGGTTCGTGTAGCCAGGCACTGAAAGATAGAGTACCTAGGATAACCGAGAAACTCACTTGGGCTTCTTCCCTTATTGCAATAGCCCTTGGATTGGCTATCATTGTTAGCCAGTTTTTTGGGTTTAGTTTGTATTAAGTTATCTTTAATCAGCTTCGTCTTTTTTCCCCACGAATGGTATTTAGAAAAGGTAAATTCTTTAGACAGAAAATTGGTTCTCAAGAGGAATTACATCATAGAGACAACTTGTGTAATTGCATTTGAATGTGTATAAGTATATGTAAGTTCAATGATTCTGTTGCTGAGAACTTTTGTCTGTATTTGTCGAATTCATCTTATCACTACTGTTGAGTTATATATGTATGGTGATGAGGCCTTGGAGTTCACTGCAGAATGTCATTCCTACGTTTGTGTTTTCAACAAAATCTATAATGGAGAAAAATACAAACACTCTTTCTTTAATGATTAGTGAGAACAACGTAATTTTAAGATTCAAAATATTTCAAATAAATTCAATAGTTAGAAATAATATACAAAATAATGTATATATATTATTGTAATCAGTGGTAATTTGAAATATGTCATTTAAATTTACACTTGTGTAACGTAGTCTCGAAACAATTATGAATAACCTGTAAATATCTATAAAGTAATGTATTTCATTTCATACGCAATACGAATTTGGAATTTAGAAAGAGATAAATAACACATAAATAAACATGTTACAAATATAAAAATAATTATATCTAATATGTATTATCAAATGTTATATATTATTATTTTTAATTACTTTAAATATTTCTTTGTATATCATGTTTTTAGTTGTATGGATTATATTTCCATCTTCATCTACAATAAGTATTTTCAATTCTTTTCCTATTTTTATTCTAAAAACAATAAAATACAATTGAGCATGTATGAAAATTGGACAGAAGAGTAATTGACCTTTTCTTATTGATTGTCATGGTACATTATCATTAGTATATATGTATATAAGGTATGATCATGGATGAGTGGTCCTTGGGGTGGTGTAGGATACCAAGGGTGATATTAGACTTTGAATAATTGTGATAATTGTAAATGTATAGTTAAACATAGTTTGAATGATTTAAATATTCTAATATAGTATACATCATTTTATAAAAAAAAATTCTATCTATAATCTGCCCCCATTATAGTATTTTCGGTGGCACCACCACCACCACCCAACCATTTTCTCTTTCCATTATTATGAATGATACATTAGTATTTTCTGATTACAATTGAATGATATTATAGTGGATTAAAATTAATTTGGAAAAACTAGAAAATCAGATATATAATTAAATCACTTTTACTTTCTGTCCCTTTGAAATATTATTGACCACCTTTTATTAATCTTTGGACTATGTAATCACTCTTCCACCAACCTTTTTCTCTTCTCATTTTTTCCTATTAAATGTTATTATGACCTATACATTAATATTCTCTGATACAAGCTGAATAACATTTTAATGAATCAAAATTGTTTAATTTAAAAAATAGAAAAATCAAATATACAATTAAACTATTTTAATCTCAACCCCTTTCTAGTCTGACCATACATTAATATTTTTGTGAAAATGGTTGAATTATATTACACTGGATCGAAATTGTATACGTTTAAAAAAATAGAAAATCAAATATATAATTAAAATCTTGTATAAATAAAATTACAGATATGAAACAGAATTTAAGCCTAAATAATTATAATTTAGTTTATTCAAACAACCCATTATAATTGAGAAAAAGTAATGAAAAGTCTTAATCATGTGTTAAAAAAAACTTGAAAATGTCAATAATTAACTGATGTTGAAAAATCAGTTTAAGAGAATAATTGAATTCATAGTAAAAAAATGGAAAATAATTATATATATATATATATATATATATATTTATATTTGTCAGTCTTCTTATTTAATACTTAATATATTTTAAAAGATTGAGATGATTATTAAGAACATATCAGAGAAGATTATACTATCATTATATTTTATAGAATATTAAACTAAAATAAATGCATTTCATATCTTACAAACATAAAGAAAAAATATTTCAGGGTTTTTTATTTGACGAGTCTGTATCATCCTATAAAAGTTTTACACTATGAATTAATAGTAAATCATGTTGAATTTTACTATAAAAATAAACAAAAAATAAAGTATATTATGATCTGTAACTGAACAACATCATATCAAAATTTCTACATTGATAGAAAGAGTCATGAATATTTTTTTTACAAATCCAGAAGTAACCGGTGATGGTGATAAAGTTGGCATATGGAACAGCTTTTATGGTGAAAATACTCGGAGAAACTAAGATGACACAGATTCCAGAATAGACCATTCATCGGTTTCAAATATCAAGGACATAAACATGAATGGACCATTCATCAGAAATCTCTCTTGAACGTGACGCATTTGATTATTCATATTCATCGCCAAACTCAAAACCTCATCTCTGCATTAGATTAGTGCCTGTGATGAAAGAGAATCGTAACAGAGGCAAGAACGATTAACAAAATCCCAGAAAAACAAACTTATATGCTAACAAAAGGATCATTTTGTATAAAATTATGTCATGTTCAAAATATCATACAATTAAAGTCTCTATGCTAGACTTTTTGGGTGTACTACAGACAGGACAAACTTGTAGAAAAGGCTCACAAGTTTTACACGAACAGAGATGCCTGCAAGGAAGAAACATAAAACACGATTTTTGAGAATTACAACGTTTGCAATCCATTGTCTTTTTCCTAGTTTCTTCAACTTCTCCTACCCCACCATGCCTCTCTCTCTTTTCTCCTGTTCCTTCCCCCATCGATGCTGTGATTCCCACGTTATCGTCGCAACACGACTCTGCATCCTCCGATGTCATTCCATGCACCGCTCTTTCTTTCATCCGTTCTATGTTGTTATGAAGACACAATACCATGGCCTCGTTTTCCTCTGCCACCTTTCTCCACGATTCCTTCTCAACCTCCAACCTTCTCAAAAACTCTTTCAACTCCCTCGTTTTCTTCGTTGCTTCCACTATCTCTTCATCTTTCTGTCTCAGTAAATGAAGAGCATTCGATTCCGTCTTCTTCAATAACTCCGCCATGTGCTGTTTTCTTTGCTCTTGCAGAAAAACTCTCAACTTTTCATTCTGAACAAATACAAAACAAACGCCGATTAACACAATCCTAAGATCGCAAACAAATTGTTTACAAACTTAAACAAGCAAACAAATTTCTCAATTCAATGAAAAAAAGAGAGTCAAGGTTTTAAACAGTAGTTCCTTGACATCGCAGATAAAAACAACCGGTGCAACCACAGTTTCCGTGGCGGGGCGTTGTGGTGGTGGATCTCCCGTATTCCCCGCCGGAATCACGGCCATTGAAGTAATAAAACCTTGAAAAGTTTTGTAATGTAACACAAGCAGAGGAAGCAGAGGAAGCAGAGTTGCTTAATATACGAAACTAACCTGAGATCTGATATAGTGATCGATCTCTCTCTGTTCATCAAGTTGAGTAGCGAATCTTTGAGGATAGGAGGCTAAAAGTTGACCGTTATGATTGTACTTGTGAAAAGCATTGATCTGGGCATTTGAATTGGAAAAAGAAGAAAAGACGGGATCAACAAGAGACGCGGTTTGAGTCATCTGCCTAGCTTGGTGTAGCCATTGTTGTTGCCCAGGTTGCTGCAGATTATGCTTATATGGTTGAGAATTGAAACACACCATCAAATTGTTTGAAGCATAAAACTGATTCTTGGGATAAAACTGCGCTTCGATTGCCATGGGGAGATCGAAATCCAATAAGAAAACGATGAAGACATAAGAAATAAAGAAGAAAAGGGTTTCACGAGATCCCCTTCTTCACCGCATTGGGTTTGACTGCATGGAAGAAAGATCCAAACGCATAAGAGCCAAGAATGAGAGAGAGTGGCAGAGCATGGTGTGGGACGATACATATTTATAGTTGTATGAGAAAACAGAGTTGGAGAATAAGTTAAAAAGATTTGAAATAAATTAAAGGATAGATTTGAACGAGGGAAATGGTAACTGAAAAAAGTAGAAAAGGAAACAGAGAAAAAGGCATAGGATACTGCAATTTTTCTCTCTCTTCTTTTATAACTTTCTTCCTCTTTTCTCTCAATTTATCTTATAAGCATTAAAAGATTGGAGTGTGGGACGCGGTAAGCAAACACTCACCACATGCACATTTTGTGACTAACAATTCAATTTCTTTTGCAATTCTCTCAAAACTCCCATCGATAAACATGTGAACATTCAAAACTTTAGCCATTTTTTTTCAATTTCATAATTCTATTCTGATACTTAATATTATTTATTCTAATAAATAAATATCCATCAAATCCTTTTTCACTAATTTTAACTTAAATCAAGTATTGGTCAACGTATGTGAATGCAATAAATAAATAAATTAACAATTCAATCATAGCTGAATATTAAAACTATAATCAATTCAAAAATAGATCAAATAACTCAAAGAAAATGTAACTCTTAACAATCTACTATCAATAGGCTGAAACTATTCATTGTGCTTTTATTTCTGTAATAAATTATATGTTAATACTTCCGGATGGCCCCGAGGATTGACTCTTTTGAATAATAAATTTAAGATAATTTAATATTTTGGCTAATTAATATGGCTAAGTTATTTATATATTTTATTTGAGTTCTTTTTGGGATATAAACTTTGATTGTTATAAAATTTGGATATTAGTGTAAAAAAGTCATGTTATTAATTGATACAAAATATAATTAGTATGACTTTTATACTTTTAACTTATCGTATCATTTATTTATATTAATCATATCACTTATAATTTATAAATGCTAACATGCAAGTTTCTTTACGTTAGGCGTTTTGTACATAAACCGTTTATATATTTAAAATTTTTGACTTATAATGTTCTTATTTAGACAATTAAATGTTTGTAATTTTTTTTTGGATATTATAAAATCATTTGCATATTGTACAAATAGTGGTGTCGGGAAAAATACTGGAAATTTCGTTAACAAAATATCACATCTTTTGACAAAAAATTATCACCGTCCTTTGAGTGATATCAATTATTAAGATTAACTTTATTTTCTAAGTATTGAGATTAATTATTAACAAAAATAGAAATGATGAGAATTCAAGTTAGATAATAATAATAAAAAAAAAGCTAATCTCTCGAAATTATATGGTTAATCAAAATTAAACTCTTTTCACCGAGAGATATCTCATATTAATACTTGATTCTTTTCTCCTTAATATATTTTATTATATACGAAAGATGGAGAATGCATGTGAGAAATTAAAATATTTTTTATATCGTTTTTAGCAATCTTACTCTCTCTACACTGTATGGAACACCATAATCCAACGTTAATAATTTAAGTGTTCAAAATTATATACATGTCTCGTAATTTGTGTAAAAAAAAATTCATCAAAACTATCTCAAACCATTATACTTTATATTTTTTTTTTCAGAATCTGTTATTTTCTACTGTCTCCGAATGCTGGTTTTTCATAGCTTTCAGAATATTTTTAAGAAAAATACGAAAGTAAATTATATATATATATATATATATATATATATATATATATATCGTATTATAAAAAAACTATATATTTTACTTCAGAAAAAATCGAAATTGTATTTAAAAAAAATACTTCATTTTCTTTAAAAAAATCAAACACTATTTTTGTATTTAGTACAAGTCGTACTTTAGAATATGTTTTCGATATTAAAATTTGTGTTTTAAAATACGATTTCACATAATTTTTTTTAAAATTATTTATTTTGATAATTATTTTAAAAAAAATATACTGAAAATGTAAAAAGTCCTAAGGGTCCTTATATACATTCTTTATAATACATATTTATTATCAATTCAATTTATGAACATTATAAAATAAGAGAAAGAGTATTCAAATAAAAAAATAGATCATAAGAATTATTATTTTCCATATTTATTTTATCTGTAATAAAAATATTTAAAATCGTATATTAAAAACAGGTTGTTAATATTATAATAGCCTATATCATGAACCTTGCTGTAATTGCCATAATAAAAGTAATGAAAAAGAATTTAGTTCAATATTGAATATTTGTTAGTTTCAAAAGTCAATGAAAATCATTTTTATTAAATAAAACCAAAACTAGACTGATATTTAAATAATACATATGTTATATTCGTTCATTTTTCAAAATAAGTTATTGCTTTCCATAAAATAATTAATAGAATTAAAATAAGAATGATATTTAACAAAACAGAACATAATTATATTATATTATAATAATAAATTATTTATTTTCATTAAATACTTATATTTTCATTTCTTTCACTTTGTTGATTTGTTAGTTATCTTGCTTAACACTTTTAACACGAGTAATTTTCATTTTCCTTTACTTATTCTTCTGCACTTTATTCATTACACAAATAATATTTTAAATATTTTTTTGAATTTAATATTTGTATATTAATAAGTTTTGTCCTATATAAATTTAATATTAATTATTTTTGTAGTGATTGTACGACAATGTAAATTGTAAACTCATATTTATTTTTTATTATTTTAAACATATACTTACATTTAATTATTTTATTATACTTTCTTTTCAACTTGAAAGTAACATAATGGCATTTTACAGCAATTATAAAACGCACTTTGCAACAAATAGTCATTAATCTCAAAAAATTCAAAACTATTATACTTTTATGTAAAAGCTTTTTATGATATATAAATGTCAGCAATATACCATCTTCATGGTAGATTATATTAATAATTAAAAATTTAATATATACTGCTATCAACTTGAATTTCAGAATCCAATATCGAACTATTTGGAGTACCAACTCCAATAAATTCGAGATATATATATAACAATTTTTTTATTTTTTCCTTTTCATTTTCTCATATTAGAGTAATTATCATCATTAGAGAACACAATACAACTTTTATAAGATTAAAAGTAGATAATATATTGGGACTTTATTTATTTATTTAGTTGGTCGCGATCTTGAGATATTAAAAACAATAATAGATTTAAAAGCGGTCTACCATAAAAATAAATTTATTTAAAATGTTGACTAAAAACAGTTAATATAAATAAATATATTGCCCAAAAAGAACAATTTCACATTAAAGCGCCTCAAGATTGAATATATAAAATAAAAAAAATTGCATTAGATACATAATTTTCATTCATATATATATATATATATATATATATATAATACATTTCTATTTTTAAAATTTGAAATCCAAAAAATGAAATCTCACATAAAAGTCTATTGGTTTTAACTACTGTACAATATAAAATATCACAGGGGACAAAATGATCATGTCAAATTTGATAGTTAAACAGTTAAAATGTATCTTTAAAAAATCAAAAGACAATCTTAAAAGTAAGAAACAAAATCTACCAAACACTGTGGAGAGAAAAACATGACTACAATGCACTACACGGTCCACAGCGTTCAGTCAAAACAGCCAAAATGGAAAAGGTGAAAAACAAAACAAAAACGAGCACATAATGTAGCATATTAATAATCTCTTTGTTTGAAAATTGAAAGATGAAGGTGAAATTCAAACATATATGTCAGCTGAAATTGAAAGTTTGATGCATCTTAATAATCATTAACTAAAACTTTTCATAATCTTGTTGATTTATTAACTATATACGTAGGAAGCAGAGTTGTTGGCCACATACACTGGCTTGTAATCATACATCATTTTCAACAAACATACAAGTTCTACCAAAGCAACAAGATGTAAGTTATCAGCTAATCACTTACGCAGAATTTTATTCACAATGATGTGGGTTTTAAGCATTGAATTAACCTTTCTTAATTACAGATTGCTTTCTGAGTGGTTGATAGCGTGCATAAACCTTCTCATCCACCAAAAGCCAAAAGCCAAAAGGTACACGTAATAACCTTCACTTATATATATACATAGCTTTGTTTTGAGGAGTGGGAGCCAACCAGAGTTTTTAGCCATAACTGAAAGCAAAAGACTAGCAGCAGAGTTTTATTTTATACGTAGAGCACACATAATGGCTCATAAAAAGGTGATATTAAAAAATACAGCAAGTATGTCTACTACTGATCCTAGTTTGTGTTGAAGTTTGGCCTTTATATTGAACCTATCTTTTTGGAACAGCACAAGGCATGAACAGGACCCACCTTACGTTGGAATCTCAAATCACGAAAACATTATATGTCAGCGAAAACAGGAAACAATAGGAAAAAAAAAACAATAAAAAGAATGATGTTTGATTTCCCTTGGTGTCTGGGAAAAGTCATGGTGAGATGGTGCGTGGTGATGATGGACCCACGTGCAGGCCACCCACTTTGACCCCATGAATATAAACTCACTGGTCTCTTGAGCGTCTCTTGCGCAACGCAACCAAAGGGTAGGGTGCAATCCATGTGAAAACCAAACCCATATCACTGTACTACCACACCACCTTTTCTTATCACTGTCACTCTTCTCAAAGAACACCCATCATCTCTCTCCTGGAAAATGGGGTTTGCTTTTTCAAACTATATATTAAAGATGGGATCTTGTTCCATTACGCATACCCCATTTATCGTACTTTGACGCAAAAAGTCTTTGCAGCAACTTCTCAACTACTTGTCTTTTGTTTTTTTTTGGCTTTCGACTCTAGGGCAAAGTCACATTAAACTTCCCAAGTAAAAGCAAATCCCATCTCCAGGACTCGAAACAAGCGTCACCAATATATATATTTTTTTCCCTTAAAAATCAAGTCCTTCAACATCGTCATTATTGTTCACTTTTGGACTTTGATTTTCCACCAAGGAAAATCTTCGGTGGACGAGGTCCTTGATAGTGTCATTATTCCATCCACACCCACACACTGTTACCTTGTGAAAGTAATGAGGAATTCAAAGTTTGCGCAATGGCACAGTCCAATTCAAAGCTCACCTCACCGAACCGAGTTATCTATATATATATATATATATATATATATATATATATATATATATACACACATCAGAAGCCTGTCCCACTCCAC